TGGAGAAGCTTCTCACAGTCGTCGCGGAATCCCAAGCAACTTCGTCAAATCCTCCGTCCGATCGCTTGCAGTTCGTCGAAGAAGAATCCTCCATTTCTCTCTCTCTCTCCCTCTCTCTAACTTTTTGAAAACCCCAATCTATGAACCCTAATCTCTATGCCAATAATCTTGGTTTGTTGAAGGCGGTGGAGGATTTGGGTATGGATTGGGGTTTTCATTATTGAGAGCTCGTAGAAAGGGATTTGTGAGGATGAAAAGCTGGCTGAGGGGGATTTTCAGGGTGGCGGCGACGGTCGGATTTTCAGGGCGGTAGGGAGGTTTGTGATGGTAGGAAGAAGAAGATGAAGGGGACAGATCTCTTTTTTTTTTTTTTTTTTTGTCCGGGAAGGAGAAGGAGATGGAGAAGAGATCTTTAAAATTAAATGAAATGATATAAAAAAATTACTTTAAATTGTGACATGGCTGCCATGTGGCATGGCAAGATTGATGTGGACAGGATGTGTCGTCTAGGTGGCAGCCACATTAGCCTAACGTCCACCTTACTGACGGAATAGTTGACGGTGTTAAAGTATTTGACGGAAATGGCTAAATTAGTCCAATAAGTTTTAAAAATGTGGCTATAAGTGCTATTTCTCCAAATTTGCCTATTATTGACACAAACGTGAAAGTTTTGGCTATGGAAATATATTTTGCCTTAGAATTTTTCCAAATTTGTTAGGTAAACAAATTCGAATCTGAATTGTAATATTGCTCAAAGATTACATGGAACTCGCATAGTCGCATTCAATTCATCTTAGTCAAATTTAATATATTTCGTTCAATGTAAGTAATATCTATGAATTGATTTCCAGCAAACTCTTTCTTGCTCCATCAGTTTCGTTTTTACATGACCTCTGTTACATTTAAATAGAATGAGTTTAAATAAAGCTTTTGTTTAAGTTAGGTGGACCAAAGCTAGGTCTTGCGAATCATTCCAAGCTCAAGTAATCTGAATTAGTGAAATCAAATTAATGTATTCACAGTTAGCTTATGCAGCCTCATTTAACAATTGTTTGAAACCATTATGTTTTGTGGGCTACACAATTACCTTTTCTTATAGAGCTCTCATTTACTTGTTTAAAAAAAATGCATGATGTCAATTTAAAGGTTCTGAACAATCTGCCTTCCTTTGGTCATTTTATTTAAAAGTCTGAAATCAGAAACTAATTGTCTATTTTTCCTATAAGGAGAGCTTTGTTTGTCACCAACAAGAGCGACGCTGCTAAAAAGCAATCTGTATATTCGAAAAGTGCATCAATTTAGTATTTGGTATGTGTGTCTATAATAGTAATCGCTTAATTACTATGTTCATTACACCACCAACTCAGAATTTCATGTGTTTGTGATTGCTACAATAAGAAGAATGCAGTGGCCTTTAGGGGACAGCTTCAAGCTCCGTGAGTACTCACTACTAGACTCTATTCTGTTAGATTTTTTCTAGAAATACCACTAAAAAGAAATAAAATTTCAAAAATATCATCCATTTCCAAAAATACTATCATTTTTCGAAAATCTCATGGTGGGGCGCGGTTTTCGATGTAACCCACATGAGAGAGGGCGGTTTTGGTGACCGCATGAGGTCGGGGCGGTTTGGTCCAAAAAAAATTTCCCGATCAATCCTAACCTAGGTGGAAACTTCTAAAAATACCACAATTTCTCGAAAACCTCATGGTGGAGCGCGGTTTTTTATGTAAACCACATGGGAGAGGGCGGTTTTGGTGACCGCATGAGGTCGGGGTGGTTTGGTCCAAAAAAAAAATTTCCCGATCAATCCTAACCTAGGTGGAAACTTCAAACGAACGTATCTTTGTGCTCGGGTATCCGATCGTAGCGAAATGTTTTTTGATTGACTTTTTGAGATCTTGCAAGCCGCAAACAGCTTTTTGAGATCTTGCAAGCCGCAAACAGTCGTAGGCGCTTTGGTCCCGCCTTCGTCTCGAAAAAACGTCGTTTGCTACCCCGAACGATCTTTTTTTCGATTTCGCCAAACTTTGGACGACTATAACTTTGTGCTTCGCACTCCGAACGTCATGAATTTTTTTTATTTCGCATAACTATTTAAGGACTACAACTTTTAGTAGGAAGGAATTTTGAAAACATGAATTATTGTTGGATATACATGATCTTTGCAATAACATTACCTTCACTTTTCCAAAACCGCCCCCACCCATGCGGTTTACATCGAAAACCGTGCCCCACCAGGCGATTTTCGAGAAATGGTGGTATTATTGGGAAATTTAGAAAAATGTAGATATTTTGGATTTTTTTCTTTTTAGTGGTATTTCTGGAAAAAAAGTATGTATTCTTTGATCTAGCAGTTTCATTTGCTGCTGGTCTTTCTGTTGAATTTGAGGAATCAAGTTTGCTTCAAAATGAAATAGCTTGAATAGCTAAAGAAACATGATGATATTCCTTTCAATCTAGACCTGGTCTGTTTTAACTTAATTTGAATTGTCATTAATAGCCGTTAATGTCATAATGCAAACATGTATTTATTATTTTTTGTACTCTCTTTTTATGGGTAAAGTTCCAGCTTCGTAACTAAATTTCCAGCTTCGTCGCTAAGATTACTAAAAAAAATTATGGTGTGGTGTATATATTTTTTAGGGTTAAATTAGGCCGATTAGACAATTATGTTTACCACGTCAGCAATTAAGGAACTCAATTAACGGAGACTAATGAAGAGTGATCAAACTTGAAGTATTTAACTAATTTTAGTGACTATGAACGGAATTAGAATATTTAGTCGCGAAACTTTTTAGTAATTCCTGCGACACCAATCTTGCAATTTACCCCTAATTTGATTGTAGGAATTGATTGAGACACCAAGTCCTGAGGACCTTGGTGGGACAACCTTAACCGAGCTGAAAAGGAAACACGTGTTGTCGACTATGACCCCAAGGAATAGAAGTAGTATTGCTGAAAACTTTGTGTAGTTAAGGGCCATAATGTGAAGCTACTATTTAGTATTATGTTATAAGGTGATAATACTCTTATATAGATGTTATTTGTATTGTTTTCCATGTGAATAGAATCTCATAAGCGGTTTGTAAAAAAAATCTCATAAGCTAACAATTTTTTAATGATCATAAGGCAAAAATTTGATTAAGCATAACCATTAACTACAGATTCTACTGCTTAATCATTGATATGTTCTTCAAATAGAATAAAACAGAGCTAATACCACTGGGAAACCCGAACTATTAACTTTGTGCCATTTGTGTCCTAAAGTATTCGATATGACATTTGTATCACAATGTATGATAGTTGTGTGTCATTTATGTCCTGACGATTTCGTTGACCGTTATAGATAACGGTTGACCAAACAGAAGTCAACATTAACATTGACTTTTGTTGACGTGGCAGCCACGTAGATGCCACGTCAATTACACCTCATATTTTTAATTAAAAATTAAATAAAAATTATAAAATAATATATTATTATAAAAATTATAAAATGTAAACTCAATTAATTAATATTGTTTCTAAAAATAAAAAAAAAAGTAAAGGAAAACTCCCCCACTGCCTCCTACTCCCTCTGCTCTTCAGCTTGTCCACAGCCGATCCTCCTTCATCCAATTACAAACCCATATCAAAAAAATACCAACCATCGCAATCGAGAAGAAGGATGAATAGGATGGGGCACCGGAATCGCCAACGATGAAGGGTCTGAGAGAGCACAAAGATGGATCGGGAGAGGGAAAAGACAGGCCGACGACTAGGCGACATCCAATTCCGGCATCACCTGCCGCTCTCTGGTTTTTCCGGTCGCCCGAGCTCCGCAGCCACTCTTTCCTTTCTCTTTTTCTTTGTAAAATCGACTCACACCCCTACCTTCTTCATTTCTACCTTAGCAGAAGCTTGGATTTCTCTTGCGGTCATATCCAGAGCAAGAGCATACCCTGAGAGAAAGCATTACCAGATCTGAGTCCCTCTCTCATCATAAACAAAAATCCGAATTTCACAGAGACGAGAAAAGAACTTGCATCAAACCTCCGACGGAATCCATGGCAGAATCCTCTGTCACATCGCGTAAGTCGCCACTCCCCCATGCCATTCTTCTTGAAATTGTTTATACGAGTTGGGATTCAGATAAGAAAGGAACCCTGAAATTTTTAGGGATTTTGATTATTTTGTTGGCCATCTGGGTTGGGTTTCGGAGATTGAATCCCTCGTTCCTGCCGCCTCGACCTCTACTTGTCTTCGTTCGTCTCCTCCCACCGCTGTGAAACGCCACAACCACCCACAGCCACCGCTCGCCTCCCATCTGGGTTGGGGTTTCTGATTTCGTTGTGGTATTGAGATCTGGGTTGGGTTTCGGAGATGGTATTTGGGATGGATTTTTGGAGATGGTATTTGATATTGGTTTGTTATTGTTTGTTGCAGGTGACGGCGTTAGAGGCGGCCAGGAGGAGGATGTGTTGTCGGCGGCGGAGGTGAGGAGAGAAGACGAAGAAGCGGCGGGAGGAGTTCCGGCGGCGAAGACTACGGAGGAGAGATAGAAGAGTTATTTATTTTGTATTTTTATATTTAATTTTTTGTATTTTGTAATTTTTGTTTTGTTAGTATATTTATTTTTTATAATAAAATAAATAAATAATAAATAATAATATTCCACGTCGGATGCCACATCAGCGCTTACTGGATTTTCTGTTAAAAACTAACGGTCAACGCCGGTCAACTCTAACGGTGAAATAGTTTAGGACACAAATGTCGTATCGAATACTTTAGGACACAAATGACACAAAGTTAATAGTTCGGGTTTCCTAGTGGTATTAGCCCAATAAAACAATATGACAAAAAAAAATAGAACAAAATTCACACCGATTTTATACGACACCGACCAACAGGCCGGACCCAATGCTAGTTGGCCCCTGCAGCAAGTGTTTATAAAAGAATCAATTTGAACTCATACACGGGCCCATTATTATCAGGAGCCATTTGAATAAACCCAATAAGGAACGAAGTCCATGCCCAGATCAACATTGGATAGGCTTTCATCTTCTCGGCGAGTCGGGCGGTATCCCAGAAAACCCTAGCATTATATAAACCCTAGGAGAGTCCTGCTTGTAGTTTCATTTCACATTATCCCCAAGGGGTCTGTGTTTAGCGGCAGGAATCGCGAAGATGCAGATATTCGTGAAAACCCTAACCGGGAAGACCATTACTCTCGAGGTCGAGAGCAGTGATACCATTGACAATGTCAAGGCTAAGATCCAAGATAAGGAAGGTTCGTACTAGTTGCTCTATGGGTTGTTGAAACCACTCTTCTTCTCACTGTTTTCCCCGCTACAACCCAATGTTTCTCTAGTTTGGTTTCATTATTAATTCCTCAGGGGGTTTTGGCTGCAGGAATTCCTCCGGATCAGCAGCGTTTGATCTTTGCCGGAAAGCAGCTTGAAGATGGCCGAACCCTAGCCGACTACAACATCCAGAAAGGTTTCCGATCTTATTCTTGGTCTTATAGCTTGTTTAGGTTCCTGATTCAGTCTTTATGTTGCTAAATTGGTTTGGTTTGTTTTGGTGCTCAGAGTCGACTCTTCATCTGGTGTTGAGGCTCAGGGGGGGAATCATCGAGCCGTCTCTGATGGCTTTGGCTCGAAAATACAACCAGGAGAAGATGATTTGCCGAAAGTAAGACCCTGCTTCCCTTTAGCCATTTCAATATTGATTTGGTATTTATAAGTGAGTTACCTGCATGATTGACATTTGGATTGTTGTTGAGGAGTTTCGGGGAACTTGAAATCTTTTGCAAAGTAAGTAATATACGGGGCTTCACTTAACTTCTTTAGCTAATCTATGCTTAAGAAGTCATACGAGTACCCAAAACTGAATCTTCCATTCTTCTACTTTGTCAGCTTTGGATCATTCATACTTGGCTGATTTTCTCGACTGGGACATTGATATTTAGACAAGCACTTGCTGTTTATGTACTCTATTGTTGATCTTGAACTTCTTTTGACGTCTGTGCGTGTAGGAAATCTGTATTGATTAGCTTTCTCCATTGATTGAATTTGGTAGTTTATTCGCCTTTCATATAGAGCATGTGATGTGTGTTGTTTGGGACTGTCTGTTGAACTCTCATACCCTCGCAACTGTGCGCTCGAGGGCATGATCTGTTCCCGTACGGATCTCCATCTCTTGGATTTTGTGAATTTGCTTTCTTTGTGATTCTCAGGGGTGGGTAAATTGTATTTACCTGTCTGTTGCCCCTCATGGTTTCATATGATTTTTTGTGTGCTTCTGGTTACTGATTGTGCTCATATTTATTGAATATGTTTGTTTGTCCTGGGCGACTTTGTCCTTGTAGGTGTTATGCTCGCCTGCATCCAAGAGCAGTTAATTGCCGCAAGAAGAAGTGTGGGCACAGCAATCAGGTTGGTTTCATTCATAGAACTAGGTTATTGTTTATTGACGTTTCACGTTGCATTGCTGACGGGATACAATTTCTGCTCTCTTTGCACAGTTGAGGCCCAAGAAGAAGATCAAGTAGACTCCGAGTCGTACGGAGATCTTGCTGATCTGGTGCTGTCGTGATAGTTTGTCGCCTTTATTTCCTCTGGTCTAGCTGTTTTGTTCAAGGAGCTTGAATACAGAACTATGAACAGTTTCTTTGTAAACAACATTGTCCCCAGTTTCTTTGAGAGTGTTCTATCATCCAGTCTTCTGCCGTAAAATCTACCATTGAGCATATTAACCGCCGAATTTCCCCATTCTCTGCATGCAATGTATTGAAACAGAAATAATGCTCCGAAGGATATACAACAATCAGAAATAATGATGAGCTCAGGAGGATATACAACTCAGAAGGTTCAAAATAATACGCCTCAATGAGTTGCAGGCATATGTACAAAATAATGAGATTTGTGAAGGCGTACGAGATGATTTGCCTACACTAAAATAGTGGACATTTAGATTATAGTTCGATGTAATTTGGTGGGATTAATGAGTTGAGTAATTGTTGTGGGGTTTTCAATTCTTTAATAAAATTTTACGGTAGAATAGTGTAAGTGTGTACTTGTTGGATTGAGTTTATTATTAGTTGATATATGAGGGACATTTTACGGTGATTACCATAAAATAGTAATCACCGTGGTTACTAAGGGCAAATTGGATATAAAAAAAAATTATTAATGATCTTTTTTAATAAATTACATTTTAGGAAATTACATAAATATATTAAATGCAATTTTTCTCTCTCTCTCACTTCCACAATTTTTCAGCGAGATCTCTCCTCCTTTTTCTCAATCTTTCCTTGATTTCGTTGCTGCAACAACAAAACAATAAATCAATACCAATCCATTAAAAAAATACTACCATTGTACAAAACATCAATACCATTCAAGAAATAAAAACACTACCATTTCAGAAAACATCAATACCATTGCAGATTTAATCACTACCAATGCGACAAAATCAATACCAATGCGACAAAAATAATACCAATGCGACAAAAACAATACCAATACGACCATAACACTACCACTACGGGAAAAAATGACTACCATTTAAAAAAAATCACTACGGAAAAAAATGACTACCATTGAGGTAAGCCTTCACCTTCGGTATACCAGAACCGGCGGCAGCCAGAGCTATGAATGCCGTGATGAGGGTTGCAAACAGAGTCAACAGGGAGAGGACGTCGGCGGAGGTTGATTGAGGTAAGCCAACAGCGGTCAAAGCCCAAAAAAAAAAAAAATTGGGCGGAAACGAAGAGAGGGAGAGAATCCGGAGTTCAATAGAAAAAGGGGGGAGAAGAAAGAGGGACCTGGATGCTTCGCTTCCTGCGTTCGGCCTCAGCGCGCTTGGCGAGATCGGCGACGCACCGGAATCGCCGGCGGGGGTTTTTGACGATGCTGACAGCTCTCCGCCATCGCATCAACGCCTCCTCCGACGGATTCTTGTGGTGCAGATCGAACTCCTTCTTCAGATCGAACTCCTTCTTCAGACAGCGAGAGCGGGGCCGACGAGGCGGAGGTTGATCGAGAGCGGGAGCGACAGGGAGAGGAGGGAGGAGACGACGGCTAGGCATTAGGGTTTGAGTAAAATATATACAGTAATCAGGTGTGGTATATTTTTCATTTCCTAAATTACCCTTAGCTAATCTTAATCATTAATTTAAAATTATAATAAAATAAAGATAATGAATGGTATAGATGTTGGTAGCCACCGTGGTTACTGAAAATTGAGTAACCACCCTAACCTATTCCGTTGATATATGTGTTACAATCCTCTCTATTCAATGATAAAAACTTTAGAATAAAAAATTAAAAAAAATTGCGTGAAGGAAAAAATTTACAAAAAGCACAATTGAAAAAGAAAGATGTCTTCTTTTAGTTAGGTTATCGGTCGGTTATTTTGGTGTAACCTTTCCGAATCGCTCGATTAACGACTATTCGATTAACCGCATAAATAACAGATAACCGACTATACTGTTACAGTTAATCGATTAAAATAAAGTGTGTTGTTAACAATAAACACAAATCGCTTAACCGTTAACCGATAGCGACTAAACAGTTACGGTCAATGCTGTCAAGAGCACGATTCTACCTAGAAGCGATTGGGTGACCTAGAAGCGTAAAACCGTAAGTTTTTAGTTTTAAAGCGTAGATTTTGACTACATTTGTAAGGAAAAATCACGATTCTACGTAGAAGCGTTTTGGTGACCTAAAATGATAAAAGCGTTAACTTTTAAGTTTTAAAGCGCGATTTTGACTGCATTAGTTACGGTTATGATTGAACGAAACTGACTAACAACCCTAGATAGAGCTACAGAATGAGATGTGAAGGTTAGTACCAAACTAATCATACTTTTAGGCATAAATTAAAATAGCACTTATGGAGTTTTCTAAGAATTTTTATCATTAAAATATTCCTTGCCTCATTAATTTCTGGCACGCGATCAATGACCACATCGCATTTTGGAGCAGCGATCTGCATGCATTGCTTAGACGGACAATGATTGGACTGGATTCCCGACAGGGATCACTAGGCGGAGAGTGGAGAAGTAGTTGATCGCGTTTGACAAACGCGATCTGCACAGTCTGCTTTTGCTCTCAACGGTGTGTGCTATACATACCACTTTTCCCTTCTTCATCCACACCGTAACATTTATTTCTTCCTCTTTTTCACCACTCAAGAAATTCTTCATATGATATGCTATGTGTGTGCGGTTAAGCTCGAAAGCCCACACTAGAAAAAATTTCCTTGAGTTTGTGATACAATTTCTCAAAATTTGCCGAACCTTTTTTTGACTTTCTCAAAAATTGGACGAAGAGACTCTTAGGGTATCTACTTGTTTTTCGTCTTATGATTTATTGTTTAGTAAATTTTTTGTATATTTGGTTTCTATTGTAATTTATCAACGTGAATCTTTTGAATGACTCTTTAAGACCAATAATCTCTTAGTAGTCTAACCATGATTGATTAGTTGATTTTTTGGAATTCTGAATGTTTTTGCCCAAAGTACTCCACATTAAGGAATTCTGAGTATGCTCTGTGTTGCGGCTAAGACCAACCTTCCACATTAGAAAATTTGCCCAGATCAATCAAACCATTATCAAAATTAAGACTAACACTAATTATTAGCCAAACCTTTTTCGTATTTTTTTTATTATTCAAACCTATTGAATTACTAATAAGTAACCAAATGTTAACTTCCCGTTAGCAATTTTGTTAGTAATATTGACTTGTGAACATGATACTTACTTGGAAGAGACACATGGAGGTCAACATTCAAAAACTTTAGGATTTTAACTAAGAAAAGAGTTACAAAATTATTAACAAAAACAAAAAATGGCTGTTTGATAGAAAGATTTGGCTAATTATTAGTAATTCAATAGGTTTGACTAATAAAAAAGCATGCGAAAAAGATTTGGCTAATAATTAGTATTTACTCTAAAAAATAAACTCATTGAAGTGTCTAACATTTGTCTGATTAGGAGGTCTTCCTCCTTCCCTCTCACGACTTCCTGTAATATCATTAAAATCACCTATTAAACCCACTTTTCTGAATCTTGGGTTTTGAGACTCGCAATTCTATTCCACACAGTTATAAGAAAGAAACACTTCTCACCTTCCACTTGACAATGGATAAAGTTCTTATCGCAACAGATTACCTAACTTTAAGATTCCTAGTTTACCAAAGCGACAAACCTCCAGAGAGACCTTCAGGATCCACATACTCCTTATTCTTTTTTTACTTCAGTTTATTCCTACGCTTTTCCATGTTTTGTTTTGTTTTTTGTTTCCATAAGACAGATAATCGAGGGACAATATTTGCAGATCAAAAGCTTCAGATGGTTGTGTTTACGCCTAGAATGTGCCAGGCGGGAATGTGAAGACCCTTGGAGAATACCGTTGTTCCTTGATACGTGGGCACTACGTTCACTGCACAAAAGGTCCGGGGCGTGGCCCGCGAACACTCTCCGACGATCAAATTAGTAATAGAGAGAAAGTAGCTTAGAGAGAGAGAGAGTAGCTTAGAGAGAGAGAGAGTATTTAGAATCAGTTACCATTTAATGGGGTGGTTGGCTGCTATTTATAGTCCGAGGTGGCTGGTGTAAGTGTCTTGTCAGTCGGGCGCTTTCCCGCTGCTATGACACACGCTCACGGCGGCATTTAATGAAGTGTCAGTGATGGCATGACTGGTATGGACTCTTCTTTACTGGTCGTACTTACCCGCCTCCTACTGGCACGACCCGGTCCCTTCGTCCCTTGGGCCGGCCCATTCCTTGACTTACTTCTATTGGGCTTTTCCCCTTCTGGGCCGTCTCTGGTTATGTGGGCCTTGCTTTAGGCAGCGATCCCCTATGGCCCAACAATTGTCCCGCAGGCGGGTAAAGCCTCCGGGTTTGGGCGGCTGATGCTTGGAATATAGGGCGGGATCGTTTCCTAAATCAAGGGAAAACGCCCTACATGGCCCTTCCCCCAGCCGTCCAGATCGAGCTTCACGCCTCGGGCCGATCTTATCCTCTCGTGGTTGCCACGTGTGACGACACACCCTCCCAGCAGCCGAAGTGACGCGCCGCCGTCCCTCCTTCATCGCCATGATTACCCTATATAGCCTCTAGGGTAACTCAACCGTCGCTCCTGGAAATTGTGCCCTCCGACGTTTAAAAGCCTCTGAAGGATCCACGAAGGTACTTTCTCTTCTTTTTCTTCTTCTCCGTTTATGCTTGGTTCGCCGGTCTCTCTGCTCACTACTCTTTGCTTTCCTTGGCCCTTTTTGCTCGAACACCCTCGCCGTCGGGTTCCTCCCCTTTGCTCTTGTAGTTCGCCGCGATCGCTATCGAGTTCAATACTCCCTTGCAATGGCCGGAGCAGATGAAACGTCCCAACTACCTCTTTCCGCCGGATCAGGATCCTCGCCGGGACGGAGGAAGTCCCCTGCTGGTGTGCTCGTCGCCGCTAATGCCGCCGGCAGCGGTGCCTCCGCCGCTCCCACTGTTCCGGCGTCTGGACCTATCAACCTAGACTCGTCGGAAACACTTACAGATCCCATAACCGCTGCCGCCCAAGGTATGCTTAATCTGAACATTTTACCGCCTTTATGTACGTCAGAACTTGGCTGGGATTTTAGCGGGGTAGATTTCAATTTTGATTTCGGCGGCTCCTGGTCTGATGACGGCCGGTTCGTGCTGGGTAGGTCAGAGGACGGGTCATATGAATTGACCGATGTTACTTTGGGTTTAGGCGTAGAGAATGTAGCTTCTAGGAAAGACGCTTCCGCCATGGGGGATAACCTGGCAAGTTTTGGTGACGTCTCTATAGCGAGTTCAGAGGAGGGGATTAGTCTTGATGAGCAAAACTCGCCAGAAATGCCCGACTCACCCTCCTTAGAGCTTGCGGAGGATACCTCGAGTGAGGATTACCGAGTGGTGGAGGACGATGCGTATTCCATACGCCTGCATGAGCACATGTGGGGGAAGCAAGAGATACCCGCCCGCGCTTTCGAAAGGGGCCCCGATCGGCACAGTAGACTAACGCCCGCCACTATTCTGACGCGGCTTAGAAATCACCAGCTTCCCACCGATTGGAAATATGCAGCACCGTCTCCCACTTCCCGGGCCGGTACATGTCCCAAGGGCTGGATAACCATATACACCGAGCAGTTGAAGTGCGGCTTGCGGTTCCCCTTGGATCCCATTATAACAGAGTCACTCCTGTGCTTGAACTGCACCCTTGGCCGCCTGTCACCTACCGTCATCTTCCACGCATGCGCTTACAGGCTCGCGTGCAGACGACTCGGGGTTGACCCATCTTTTGACGCCTTCCGATTTATGTACGGTCTCCGGCGGGTTGCCAATGCTTGGTCCTTCGGACGGCGGGACAAGGTGTATGGATTCGTCACTGGGTCTCCCAAGCTAGACAATGCGTGGTTCAGAGACTTCTTTTATGCCAAGCCCACATCGAAATGGTATGCGGGTGACAAAGAACCTAGGACGGGGTTTGCATACGGTCGGAAGGAAAATTGGGATGCTAAGCTCTGGACCCTTGATTCTCAAAAGGATCACGTCGTTCGTCTCGCCGAATTCACTCTCTTTAGAATGAAGCCACGGGGCCCCGATTCAGTGAAGTCTATTCTGACCGAACTCTTCGGAGATGGTCAGTAGCGTGATTGACCTGTTTTCTTATTTTCACAAGTGGTTTGTATTCTGTAGCTCTAACCATCTTTTCCTTTTTATGCAGCCATGCATTTCGGGAGCGTGGCGATGATGGCGAGACCGCCGAGGCGGGGCAAGATTGCTTCGAAACCAGGCCCGTCTACTAAACCAGGCTTGTCTACTATTGCTCCCTCGAAGTCACTGATCACTTTGAGCAGGGCTCCCCTTCCACCAGCGGGTCAAACCACGCTTGCGAGCGGGGCGGACGGGCAGC